TAATAAGATTTATGGAACAGACGCAACTCCTTGGGCAATTTAGGAGTTGTAGTACAGTACAAAGAGACGAAGTGGAACGCTGGGGGGAGACTGAAGGTATTAGGACATGAGATGGCTAGCAGAAGCGGCAGCCAAGGAACCTGATATATGTCAAAAGATCAAGTAAAGCACTTCTTTTACGCTATGTATATAGTTGTAGATAGAAGCCAGACCGCCCAGGGGAGGAGGCTGCTGGTCACTGTATAGTGATGAAGTGAAGTGCGCTTACCAAATGCGGTAAGCGTACTTCGGCAGCTGCGCCGAAGCTGGACCACTCCGGCATAGCCGCCCTACGGCGGGCGGCTGGAACCGAGTATGAATAAATCAAATCAAATCAGATAGGAATAGATCAATAAATGTTAGGTTTTGCATGATATCTGTTTGTTTCCAAAACACAATTATACCACGTTATTTAACGAACTTATTCTATAGCAATAGAATGTCTTGAATTTATCCAATAGTAATCGCAAATCATAACCTGCAAATCCCTTGCACCCAATCGCTTACTGCGCCCTTTCAAAAAAGAATATATATTATCTCTTTTACTGCTATGATTAGTAATACATCACCCTTAAAAAACTACCTCCATAAAGGTTACTCTATCGTGAAGTTAACCAAACTGACAATACGAAGCTGAAGAAGGAAGAAACATATCAAAGTAGCCAGTAGAAGCAGAACAAGTGAATCTCACCCTATTGGACCTCCCAAGTAGATGGTTAGCTTGGCTACTCATCAGGTTTTCACCCTCCACAATGAAAAGGCTGTGAGACCTTAAAGAGAGTGTTTGAGGATATTATTGGTTAATTCTGTATAATATAGCCGCCCTTTACTTTCATCGTATCAAACCTTGGGAGTGAGGTTTCTTTCAATTTTTCAATTTTTCATTCCTAAATTCTATGGCATGGTCAGGGAATCCACATATTCAACTAAGCACCCAGATACTTGGGTGCCATACTTGCTTAGAAATGTGGCATAGGAGTTGGTCTTTGCAGAATACATAATGTGGGCCTATTACATTACACAGCTTCTCATTTTCTTATATGACCATTGTTGTCAAGGACCAAACAGGAGACTGTCAGAATAAGCTGTATAAACAGTAGATGGATAAAAAGAAGCTAGCTAAGGGGAGAAGGAGTTCTCTAATATAGGAGCTCTCCTATACTATAGATCCTCCCTAAATAAGGCTAGCGTCTTACTAATAAGGCTAGCGTGACTTATATAGATCCGTATCGAAAGTATAGGGAGTCTCGCTAAGCAATAGTTACATACTCAACAACAAAGGGGGTAAACTCTAGCTCCAGCACGTTCCGTAACAATTGTATTTAATTCAACAGTCAACCACTTAATTATACATAAAAAGACTCCTTGCCACACACCCTTTTTATGTCACTCTCTTTCTACTCTTCTCTGGTCCGCAGTCACCCCTTTCCTAACGAATTGTATTGTGATTTGTACGGCTGGTATAGAGATATCATGTGATATCGAGTAGAAGAAACAAAAAAAAGTTCAAACTACAGTATAGTAATCGATTATTGTCTAAACCGATAGGGTGGAGATGTTCGAGTACTCAAGGAACTCGAACAAGTGGATTTGCTGTATAATACAACTAATCTAAAAGAGTGGAATTTGCCCCAACGAGAACATGCATGGAATAAAATGTATTAGTAGTACAATGCTCCAGATTCAATCAACTGAAAAGTCAGTACAGATGACTACAGATATCAAGACCTGTTTACAAATATAAATATCCCCTATCTCTGGCAGAACTGCTCCTCTCACGAGTCACGACTGAGGAGATATATAGCCAAACCGTAATGAGCAAGGGGGTATGTAAGGTACATTCGATTGATAGGGGGCTGAGATCATCAATTGCTGTAAGAACAATAATGCACAATACACTCTGTTCACCGCTTTCAGCGTCCACTTTCTTTCCACTACCCAGCCCAAAGCCTCCTAATTCAACCCCAGAAATCTATCACATATCCCACAACTTCCTTTTCTTGCCTTTGATAGGATCAGACCCAGGTGCAAGATTCTGAATCTTCCTTCTCATCATCGAGGGGCAACAGGTAGCAACACCTTCGTAACAGCATCCATGTCTGCAAGGGCCCTCACAGCAAGGCGCGCATTGACGGCGTTCCAATGCTGAAGCTGGTACGTTTTCGCTGACGGGAGCGGTGGCTGCGACGGTGCAGATGAATAGAGCGATGGCTGGGAGAGACAACTTCATGGTGGCTTATGATTGAAATGGTGCCTGTAAATTGTCAGGGTGAGCTACATGGTAGTAGGAGGATGGCATATGGGTGGGTGAGAAGATGAGGGGAAGATTGGGGGAACTTACTTGTTTATAGAAACGTCAGGTTCGCGCTTGTGAAGGCGGATGGTGCAATGAAATCTGATCTCTTGGTCCAAAGAGCGTTCTTTTTATACAGTACCTACGGGGTACCAAGAGACAATGACGATCTCTGGATCGTGCATAGCGAAAGTATCCAGCTAACCCGAAACTTTAAGTCAAGAAAAGTATAAAACAACCCTATCAAAATGTTTACTTCTACTTCAGTAAAGGGGTGGGAAAGTTAAAGCTAGACACTGTCAAGCAGATCCTATGTGAGGAAAGTCTATATGGTCCAGATTCGAGTCTCTGATTCGCTGGCTTATTTGAAATAGGGGCCAGGCCGTTAGGTATAGTCAAAGACAGTGTCCAGCTTTAACTGTCCACCCCCTTTACGTAGTAGTCCGTAAACGCAATTCGAGAGTATAATTCTCGCATTTCTCGCACCGGAAAGTTGTAGCAATAGGATGCCTATGCTTGATCTTTGCGATTTGAGAGGAGCCATAAACTGTGTAGACAGCTCGGAGGCTCTCCTTCCAAGACAATATGACGGCTTTGGTTTAATGTTTAGCAAGACCAGCGAATCAGGGGCTCGGATTTGGGCGATATGGAGTTTTTTCACGTAGGATCTACGTGACAAGGGCCAACACGAGCCGTCTACGCTTTTACTACAAAGTACGACTCATGAACAAAGTATGGATCTAGGTATTAATGCAGAGTATAACGAAACGGAGTGCTAAGTCTACTATGAATTACTCGCTCGGTTCACCGACTATTAACTAAGAGATCTCTTCGGACCGAAGCTGTCGATAGTTGATTGTTTATGCGGATTCTTTAGGTGAACCGTTGCCTGGCGCAAATATAATTATCGGATGATATGGAAACTCAACTACCGTAAAAACTCAACAGTAAGATCCAAAGTGGTCGGGGAGTACGAGGTGTATGCGTGCAAGCACGTACCTGCGAAGGGCTCGTACTTAATAATTGAAGCTATTTCGAGATATCGCATTGTCGCCGTCATCTTAGAAATAGTGAAATCAGAGCATTTCGATTGGCTCGATTATACAAAAGTATAGAAATCAACAATAATATTATTGATATATCAAATTAGGTGGTAGATCTTACTAAATCGAGAGTACACTTGGGCCCAGCGCTGCCACCTACCAGGACTAAAACAGCCCGCACTCCCCGACCACTTTGGATCTTACTGTTGAGTTTTTACGGTACATCGGACGTGGTACTGTAGCTCGTAGCAAGCCAGCCCGCATTATATCATACCCTTTGTTTCGAGTTGTTGCTAGGAATTCTTCAAAAAGCGCAGGGGGAAACCTTAACATAGCTCAACCTTAAATTCTGTAAAAATAGACGGCAGTGCCCACATCCATGTCAAACTACCACTACTCGAGTACTGTATACACTTAACAAAAATCCAGAACCCATCAATATAACGTGGCACCTTCGGAGTTCACAACACCACGAAGTCGTGGAAGATACAGTGTAAAGAGGTAGCTAGAGAGGGTGGACGGTCAAAGCTAGATACTATGACGTAAAACATATGTGAGAAAACTCTACAACACTCCATACTTAGCACCGACTGGTCTCGCCCAAGATCGGGCAGGAGTCGTGATATAGAAGGTCCGGGTTTAACCCATTTTCTTTAAGATAGAATACGAAGTACAACTTTGAAAACGTCGAAATCTTACGTCCTTAAGTTTGTGTCAAATTCTAATGGGCTGTCCCGCCAGTCAGGAAGTTATCCGAAGGTGTCGCGTAGATCTCAAGTCTCGGCAACTTTATATCGGTAACTTTAATACATTAACCTCCGGCGATTCGGTTGCATTCTACACTCCGTTACTGTATCTGCATCCCCCGATCCGATACGGTGTCGGGAAATCTGCCGAGTTACTGAAATTCCTAATGGAAGTATGTAGATTATTGCTGCATTTTGGTCCATCAGATTATGGAAATTGGGGTATAGGTAACAATATCTCAAGATAGGAGCATTTATGGAGATCATTCAGGAATTCCTCCGAGAATTCTTGTCCCGTCAGATCAAGAAGCTTAGTATATATCTTATCTCTGTTAGTAATTTTTTACTAGAGGCGATAAGTATGGGTGACAGACTAGAAGTACTGTCTGGAAAAACTGTCAATTTGAAGCTGAGTGTGGAATTGTCAACCAGAATAACATTACAGTAAATCCAAGCAATAGACGTTCTATCAAAGCGGCGCTTAGAACTGGATGCGATACCCGTCCATCGTTCTGCTATAACAAATTTAA